ACCTCTTTGGTAAGCTATGAGGCTCAATTAATATGCTAGATGCTTTAGAAAATTGTACAAAAGTGGTATTTTCTGTTCAAACGTCAAAGCACTGAATGTAAAATGTACCTATTTAAGTGCCTGGGACTTAGCTCTATCAATTTATTTTTTTTCCTCTTTGTACGTCTTAACACAATTCCAGAATGACACATCATATAGACAACAAAGACGAGCCATTAGCGCTGGAAAGGAGCCTCTATTTAAAAAAAACAATACCAGTCTCATCCACGAAAGACAAAAGAAGCAGGACACGAGTACGGAAACAGGCAGTACCATGCATAGACCCGAAGGCTCCTTCAGTGTCTCATTTGCAAAAGCCCATGATTAATTGAGATGTATAATAAATGCTGAGAGGATTAATTCAATCACAGAGACGGGGATACAGAAGGCTTTGACATTTGTGGGAGTCAACGCCTTAGCTCCGCAAGACAAAAATATCAATTATCTTGACTTAGACAGGTCACTGGAGTGGTTTTAGCCTATGAGAAGGATTTGGTTTTGACATAGGGATGACGATAAGAAAATTGAGCCAGCGATACGCAGTCGTGTAATCTCCCTGCTCAATTTTGATTACAGAGGTAGCAGCTGAAATGGTGATGGTGGATGAAAAGCTGTTTGATGTTTCCGACTGAGTATGAGGCTGAAGTCACTTCAGCTTTCCAGCAATCTGACAACAAACAGCAAGATGAAGCTGCTGTAATAGAGTTTTTGGTGACAGTGAGGAACGGGGAGCATGGGCTGATGGTAATGATGCTATCAGTCACTGTGATCTTGCATTGATAGATGAAGTGCCTGCTGCACCTTTTGAAGGCAGGCGATGAGAGGTAAACATGAGTGCCGTCAACGTTACAGAAGCAAGAGGTTGATTTTCCTAACTAACCGCCGAATGTGCCGAGACCTGGTCATTTCTCACACGTCATCAATCAACATGGGAACGCCACTCCTGTAATCGCAGTCACTATATTATACAAGATCCACGTGTCAGACAACAGGACCGCACACATACAGAGGCTGGGGTCAGTGTAACACGTGATGACAAGCCGACTACACCCATAAGTCTATACATTCAGGACCGCTTTCTTGATGGAAACTTCCATGTCAACAAAAAAACCCAAAACACTTCATACCGTCTTGTTGCCCTCGCAAACCACACATCCTGCAAATTAATAACAGAGCAAGTCACATTTAAGCAACAGCCTTGTCTAAACACACCAGGTACATGTGGCCTATGGTGGATTTGAGTAAAATTAAGCAAATCATTGTTATTCTACAACATTTCCACAAATGGCGAAAGGTTACACCATAAAATGTCTTGTTTTCATTAAGGATGCACCGAACGCTCGGCCACCGAAATTAATCAGCATGAAAAAGCAAAAACAGCACTTCACGTTCGGCCTAATAAGTCAAAAGACTGAATATATTTTTACAAAAACAATTAAGTTGACATGTCGGCAGTGTGGAAACATTCTAAAGTGTCTGTGAAAGACGCAAAGATTGCCATTTGCAGACACATTAAGATCAGTTTACTGGTCATAGTAAGCTCTAACCAGCCTGTGGAAACAGAAATCGCCGTTTGCAGACGCTGTTCTGCTGAATTGTCTCCTAGCACATCCGCTCCATCTGTGGCTGACTTCTTGGGAAAGGCAACAAACCATCTGACCCGCTTTGATTGTTTCTGACTGGTTTGTGAGAAGAAGTTTAAACTACACCTAATACGTGTGCACCTAAATTTGGAGTGCACACGTATTACAGCCTTTATGGTAAATCCACTGAAACGGCCCAGAGCGAGCTGACAGGCGGGTTAGCAACTTTATCCTCTCAGTTTCTCTGTTTACAAAGAGTGTTGCAGTATGAGTCTCCTACCTGAAGAGACGCTGTGAAGTCTTCATGTTACGCGATATGAGAACCACATACAACATTATTAATAATTGGGTCGGACTTGATGAATTTAGTGCGAGGAAACACATGTGACAATGTCCGGTTTTCAAAATAAGGTGTCTACACAGTATGGCAATAAGATTAATTGGATTATATTCACAGAAAGTATAAAAAAATATTACATGTGTCCATTAAAAGTAAGTGGACTCATTTAATTTACTTTACAGGACCCTATCGAGCCTCGGACCCCTCCACCATAGTCTCTCCAAATCCTGTGGGAAACACTGGGGGAAAAAGCTAATTTTGACTATTTAATTTATGCAGTGGTAAAAAAAAAAAAAAGCAAAATAAAAGGAAAAAATTTTGGAATGGAAAAACCTTGTTCGGTATCCGGGAAAGATTTTCATTATATTCGGTTTTGGCCAAGAAATTTCGGTGCGTCCCTAGTTTTCATAGTTTTGAAGATAATCAGTTAACTCCCTCCCCAGCAAATCCTCTAATCTGACACTATTTTTACTTGGAAAATGACTGAAATGATGAATCGATTCTCAAAATAGATGCAAATTATTTTTCAGATCGACTAGTCCTGCTCTAAATATGAGGCTTATTAAGCTTCAGGAAAAACAAGCAGAGGCGCTTCATCACACAGCCACAGGCCACATGTTTATAGAGTGAGGCTACAGTTTAAACCATCACCTAGGGCCTACACTGATAACAATGCGTGCCAGGATGCGTCTGCTTCGGCTCAGCAGGTGACTGATTGTGCTCATCACCTGTACTAATTGATTTCCTGGCAGCAATTCTGCTAAAGGTAGGCTAAATTAAAGCCACTGTGTAGTACTGCTACATTTAACCCTCTGGACCTGGTGCATGTTATTCACACCAAAACCCACAGCCCATCCTCTCAGGGGCCATCATTTGGTCAAATCTGAACACACAGATGTCGGACACAATTAGTGGAATCACAACTTACTCTAATTCTTTGCAGCAGGCTACTCACTCTGAAGTCCACTGAGGATAAACTCCACAAATCTGCTAAGAAATCCATTCAGAATCAAAAGTAATCCTGTTGACTGTTGCTATCCCCAACTGCCTCACCATTTCATCATGCCTTTGCATTTCCTGCATTACATTCTTTGCTGGCTAGCTTGCTAAATTGTTAGCCTCTGCGGCTTCTAGACGGCCACAGTAACTTAATGGACTTTTTTCCCTTTTGGCGTCCATGTTGCCGTTGCCTTGCAGCGGCGTTCTCACAACTTACCACTTGAACACCAAGAATATCGTGTACACAGTTTCCATGTCATTAACATCACCACTGCCATGTTCCAATTCAAAGTGATGTGTCCCTGTGAAACCTATTTATTTTACTCTCAAACAACAGTGAATTCCATGCATTTTGCAGGAGATTTTTACTGCTTGAGCGTTCTTAGCTTTACAACATTAGCAGCAATTCCATGTCTTAGGATATGGGGCACTTGTCAGGAGGTGCAGTAAATGCACCTGGATTGATGGCATTTGGGCACAAATGACAGCAGAATTGTTTAAAAAAGTCAATATGACACTGCTGATATTTCAATGACACTCTTTAATGCTTTGTGGTGGGGTGCCGAGCAGGACTGTTTTAGCTGAATACGACTTTCAATTTAATTTCCATGACCTTTATTTAACTCTACTTGAAATCAGATCTCCGTGACCACCTTGTTCCAGTCCTGGCAGACTACTGGGAACATAAAAAACTGCTGTCCTGAATTGCAATTTGTAGACTCCTCAAGGCTAATTCATGCTGATTTCCACAGCATACCATATGAGCCACTTGGCGAGCAGCTATTCAATTACTGCCAGTGGCTGAAAAACATCCAAGGCTTGTTCAACGAGTGTTACGCCATCAACCTGTTAAAAGGCAGGCTGCAGATTGAAAATGTACATTGCAAAACAATGGTTATTGCTGACTTCAACAAATCTGCAAAAACCTGTATTTCACAAGCATAGAAAATGGTGACTTCTCAGCCATGAAATGAGAACTGTGAGACAGAAACTGGAGGTAGTACTACACAGGCAGATGCTCATCCACCCTCAAAGTAATGGGTGTATCCATAAGTTATTAATATCTCACAGCACACAATGGCAGACAATTTACAAAGCTATGGTGGTGCTGAACCCCCGCTGAAAACAATTATGCAGGCAGGATATCTGAGTGAAGTGAAGATGGAAGGTAAATGCCATTTAATAGATCCTTGTTCATTTTGAAGGTTGAGTGGCACTGGTCTCAATATGATGTCTGGGAAAATAACGAAAGCGAGGACCTCAACACACACATGCACACTCTATATGTATCTAAACACACTGACATCAAATATGAGCCACCTCTGACATAGTGATGTACTCACAAATACTCAACAGACAGTTTAGATTTGGTCACTGCTTTAGAATAAATGTGTCTGAAATGTGTCTGTGCTTTCCCGTTTATATTTCGACAGACTACAGACAATGTAAGATATTTCTAATATCCCAAAATGTTTTAATTACACCCCATTATGTCCGTCCATCACTAACTAAAATAATAAAAGAAAAGATCTAACGTCACCGCGAATGAAAATGACAGCGCCAGATTTTCTGCCACGAAAAGCGACCTGTGAAATGACAGGAACGGGGTCAAAATGAGGGGATGTCGCGCAGTTATTCGCCGTTTTTTGTTTTGTTTCTTTTACTTAAAAGTCACAACTAGTGAAAGGTAACGTATTGTCGAGCAAAAAAAACAGCGACGCAAACTCGACACGTTAGCCCAGAGTCCACCTTGCACGGACTTGCGCAACAAAGTTTCCCGTTAGGTCGGGAGTGTGTTTAACACGGAAACCCTAATGTAGCATATTTCGTACAGAAACAGAGGAAGAAAAGACACGAAGAGCGGTCCACAAAAACTAATGTCAACTTCGACTTTTGAGGGCAAACAACATATCGCACAGGCGACACAAAAGATTGTTGCCAGCTGCGGAGAAACTCGACCGCTAACTCCAAACAGTCAGAGCAGTGAGGGAATGTCCGTGCAGGCAGACAGGAAGAAAAGCAGACCGCCTTTTACTCACGCTGGAACGAGAAGAAGTCCGAACAGTCCCGTAGGGGGGAAAAAAGAGCCCACGTACGCGGTCCACGGCGCTCCGCAGACAGGTCCACATCCAGCAGCAGCAGCAGCAGCAGCGGCGGCGGCGGCAGGCTCCTTCGCTCTCCTCCTCCTCCTCCTCCTCCTCCTCCTCCTCTTCGGCTCCACAGCTGCGGGAGAAGTTTGCTGACGTCAACAAGCACTCCGTCTCAAACGGCGGAGCTCTTTGGTCGCAACTTGAATAATACATGGAAAAGGAGGGGGAAGACGCGACCGGAAAGAATCGGGGAGGCAGGCACCACATCAGGCTACCCTTTCACGACAATGGCCATATTCACAAAAAAAAAGAAAAAGAAAGAAGAAGTGGTCCTCAGCTGTGAAAACGTGAATAAAGTCCACACAATGTCTGAGTTTCCGTTCACTTTTAATAAATGCAGAGAAGTGTTCTTGCCTTAAGCTAAAGAAAGTTGCGTCTTGTTGCCTTGTGAAACTCTTGTTCGGGATTTCTGCATCAGCGTTTGGTTTTCAAAATGTCAAACAAAATACACCAAAAGCCCTGGCACAAACAGCAGCAAAGCTAAAGCAATTTAAATATATCATCCAATCTAAAGTGTATTTGTTAAACTTTAAAGTTTATGAAAGCTACATTTAATCTAATTTATAAAAAGTTAGTTTTCTGCTATTAGCCTATAAGTAGCTCTTAAAAAAAGATTACCATAGCAACTTAGTGGGTAAATCCTGCAGACCAATAACATTAGTGGATTGTTAGCTGGCTAAACAAAGTTATGTTTCTAATCATAAATAATGCACATTTAGGCAAATAGACTGATTATCTTGATTCTCCAAATTGTATTAATAAAGAAATCAATAGATAGATAAATAAACAATATATAAAGCGTGTGTTTTAGTGGGATTTCCCAAATTCTGGCTACAGAAAGTTTTTAGGAAGCCCATAGTAAAGTAAGATAAGGCCTATAATTTAAAAAATTTCTAAAATCCCTGTAAATCGGTTATGACTTAATGTTGCATTACATTTAATAATTATGTTGAAAGCAGTTTGCAATATTTAAGTTATTTTTCTCCATTAGTAATGTAAATTGGGACCTGTTCCAATCATGTGTATTGGTGGGGAGCCCCTGCATCTGATACAAGTATCATCATTTTTTACTAATTTAGCATTGGTGTGATCCATTTGGTGATATTGAAAAATTTTGCATTGAATTAAACCATTGCACACTAATAGTAACACTTGTAGTAGTGACACTAATTTGCTTTTTTGGTGCAAAGTTCTTATTTCCTCACACAACTTGAATTAGTACCCAAAAGATTTAAATAAGTTCTGTTTAATAGAAGTAACATGTCTGTTACAGGACAAGCTCCAGAAGATTGTCTAAGGCAAGTTCAGAGGGAAGATTAGGAAAGTGAATGAACTGCTTTGTCTAATCTGATGTTAAATTTCTGATGAAAATAAGATAAGATGAAATATTCCTTAACAGCAAAACTCATATTTAACCCTTTTCATCCCCCACAGGATCAGTTAGTGAAGGTAAATAATAAGTTGCCACCACAAATCATGTTTTCCTGTGGGGCAATTATGCTTGTCAAAATTACATCCACAAAAAGTGCTTCTTTTCGCCACTGACAGGCTCAGACTGTTAAACCAGGTCTCTGGTAACATCATGGAAAGGATCCCTATGAGTGTCTCCTGGTGACACCTTTGTTTCAGAAGTCTCATCCAAGGATTCTCGCTCTGAAATCTCATGAGAGGCAAGTTGTTGCAGGAAGATGATGGTGGAAACTTGAGGGTGACACAAGAGGTGTCCCATCCCACTCCCACAGAAATACTTCTGTCCCATCCCAATCCCGGAAGACTGACTTCTGTTCCATCCAGAGCTGGAGAGAGGAGATTATTGTTTTGGACTAACATTAGGAAATAAAGTGCTAGGAGTTCCTCTACGTACACAACAAACTCCTCTCCCTCGTTTCCACCAGCGTTGGCTGCAACAACTCGCCTCTCACGAGATTTCAGAGCGAGGATTGTCCTTGAGCGAGACTTGTGTTTCTTGTTAAAAACAAAGGATGTCACCGGGAGTCACTCATAGGGATCCTTTCCATGATGTCGTCAGACACCTTGTAAAACAGTCTGAGCCTGTCAGTGGCAAAAAGAAGCGCTTTTTGTGGACGGTATTTTGACGGGCACAATTGCTCCCAAGGAATACGTTGCACAACTGCAGATGTTTCACAGCTGCTGGCTAAAGCCATCCTAAACGTTTTGTACCTACTAGTCATTTCCACACCAAAATATGTGGAAAGAGGGCCCAGGTTTAAAAATACCAAAATTAGCCACAGCAACCCAGGTTAGATAGTCATCCCTTCTCTTGTGCATTTCCTAGATCTCTGCAGCTATCAAAATTCTATAAATACTATATATATATACTGTATATACACTTTAAAAGAATAGAATATTTATTACTCAGTGTCAGAATAATAGGTAGGCATCTTGATAATGACAATAATCAATATTCGACAGACCTTGAGGAAAGCAAAAACCCTCCAAGGATCAATGACACTGCGTTACATTAAAATGTAAATCCATTTCTGTAGGGTTCAAAGGAGAATCATTCTCAAAACAAAATCCAAATAGGTCAGTCGCTGTTGCCATGATGACAGAGAGACTGGCTTCACACTTTCAAATATAGGCTCTTGTTTAATGCATTAACAAGAAAATTAAGTTTATTTCATGGCAGCCCAGGTCAGGCTTAGATATTTCACAGAGGATTATAGAGCCTGGTCTCAAAGGCAGACAGTCAGCTTCAAATGGCTTTCCCTCGTCGACAGTTTGCTAAAAATGTTTCAATATCACAGGAGAATCAACCCAGGTGCTGTCACAGTATTTACAGTCTCTTCCTCTCTGACCAACTTCAGAGAGAATTTTGATGACATTGCAGATACAGCACGTGCCTTGGCTTCCAAATTTCCGATCAGGGCTGACACTGTTTTCCACAATGATGGATTAAACTGTGATAAATAAAATGAATATCTAAATTATGTTTTATAGATAACCTTCCTTCTTTAATTAGCATTCATTTCTTGTATAATTTTCTCTTTAAATCTATAGGCCTTCTTTTAACCGCAGGGTCTGAATTTAGTCTCCGGTGATAACACAAACATCTCCTAGACATTACATGTATATACTACTAATTTGATTTGTTAAATATGTTTTAACTTAATTGCTGCCTCAAATACATTTAGTGGCAAAATTTACGTGGTGATATTCTGTATTGTTCTTATTGTCAACAACGTGAAATACCAAAACCAAAACAACAAAAACAAAAATCAGCCAAAGTTTATAAGCTTATTATTCTGCGTCGTAGAGCTCCTTGTTCTTCTGGACCTTAGCACGGCCTTTGATATAATTGATCAAAACATTCTGTTAAACAGGCTGAAGCACTTGGTAGGAATTTAAAAATTGTTCCCTTCATACCTTTTTAACAGGAGGTTCTCTGTCAACATTAATAACCACATGTCATCCTTTGTTCCTTTCAAGTATGGTGTCCCACAGGGGTCAGTTTTAGGACAATTATTTTTGCTGACTTTTATATTTTACTGACTGAGATTATTCTGAGCAGCATGCAGGGGAATATATTATTATTTCCCACTTTCCCCTTATGGACTGAATAACTCACTAGATTTGTCTCTAGTTATTTTTATAAACAAAGTCTCTTTTAAATCTCTTCTTAAAACAAACTATTGGAGAGTTTTTCCTGATTTTACTTGATTTGCTGGTTTATTTATTTGTTTTATTTGCAATGATTTGCTTGAAATTGTTTTATGATCTGCTTATGACATTCCTGCCTTGTGTGTAGAGAAGTTATTTATTAAAAAAAAAGATCATTATTATTATTTTATACGGTAGGGAAGTCTTGAGAGAGTATCGAGAGACCAAAAAACACCACATGTCAAGAACCCCCGGTCGTGACCCTGGCCTTCTTTCTGGTATGCGTGTTAATGTAGTTTTTGAGTTCTTTTCCCCTTTTTGGTACGTGCTGTGTGCTTGGTGTGTGTTTGGTTTGCGTCTGTCTCTGTTTCTGCTCTCCTCACACTCTGAGGCTGCTGGTGGGCGTGGTCGCCAGTGCTCCGGTCTACTCACCTGATGCGCATCATGTCAATCAAGCACACCTGTTCCACATCCTGCAATCTACTCACCTTTGAAAGCCAGATCAGCCTTCCAATCCCTTGTGTTTCTCTGTCTTGACCGCAGAATACCAGCCTCGCCCCTGGACTCGGATCATTCACCAGCACCACAAGACCAGAGTATTGGAACCCGGACCACAAACCCTCTGACCAACCAGAACGTCATCTGCTTAGCCTTTGTGTTTGCACTGGTTTTGAATAAATACTCCTTTAACCTGAACTAACTCTGGTCTGCGTTTGAGTTCTGGCACCTGGTCCTGACACCACATGCCTTTCTCTAACCAATAAAGAAGTATTTTGATTGCCAAACTAGGGCTGGAAGATTATTTGAAAAGTAATCGAAACTGAAAGTCGGTTATTTTGGTTTATTATTATTTAATCCTGTTAATATTTTCCCCTCTGTGTGTTCCTATTTAAAAACATACTACTGCGTGTGTGGTCACGTGACTGTGCCCTGTCCAGTCCCGGAGTTTGAAGCGCCGGGAGATGTTAGCAGGCGCTAACTGGCTTACTTTCCAGTAGTTCCGCATTGACATTAATAATGGAGTGAAATTTTAGTAGCGTTACTCATAATTCAGCAGCGGCATGCACCAAATGTGGACGTCAACATTACCTTATAAATTAACATTAAGATAATCGATTTTTAAAATCTGTGAATAAAAAAAATAAATAAACCAAGCTTTAATAGTTTATTTACATATTTACAGTACAAACCTTGTCAGTGAACTATAAGGACAAACAAAGCAACAACAAAAAACAACACTCAAAAACAAAATAATCGTTCAATAATCGTAATGGAGGTAAAATGTTAAATTAATTGTGTTTTGATTTTAGGTGAAATCGTCCAGCCCTATGCCAAACATATCATAAAAAGTTTTTACAACTTTTAGGAGATTCAGTATTAACATTTTGGGACTTGGCAGTTGTGTTCATTGTTG